AACATCACTAATGTGAAAATATGTTTAATAGGAATATATATCTATAGCTTATATCAGATTGTGCACCGTCTTGGGGAGGAAGATGGGGAAGGAGAGGGAGAAAAATTTAAAACTCAAAAGCTTATGGAAGTGATTGTTGATTATTCAAAATAAATTAATTAAAAATTAAAAAAATAATTTTGCCTTATTTGTTTACCATTATTTTTCAATTTTTTTCCCTCATCTTATTGTAATAGACATCTCCTATCCCCTAACACTATAACTAGTATTTCTAGAACTGTATCAAACAATAGTGGTGAATTCTTACTTCACCTTTATCTTAATGGAAAGATTTCTGATGTTTTCCCATTACAGATAATGCTGGCTCTTGGCTTTATATAGATTCTATTTACCATATTAAAGAAAGATCCACTTATTTTTAATGTTTTAGCAGAATTTGATGTATTTTGTCAAAAGCCTTTTCTATATTTATTGATACACTAATATGATTTTTATTATTTTTGTTATTATCAATTATGCTTATAATTTTCCAAATATGAAGCCAATCTACCATTCATGGTATAAATTCAACCTGGTCATAATGCATAATCTTTTTTATTATGTTGCTATAGATGTTTTGCAATATTTTATTCAATATTTTTGTGTCTATAAATTATTAGGGTTATTGGTTTCTTTTCTTTTCTTTCTCTGCTTTATCTCTTCCTTGTTTAGATATCAAGATCATATTTGTTTCAAAGAAAGAATTTGGTTGGATTCTTTCTTTTCCTTTTTTTTGCAAATAGTTTATGTAACATTGGAATTGATTTTTTTAAACGTTTGATAGAGTTTACTTACAAATCTGTCTGGTCCTGGTTTTTTTTTCTTCAAGAGATCCTTTGCAGATTATTCAATTTTCTTTTCTGAGGTTGGATTATTTAAATTCTCTATTTCTTTTTTTTTCCTAATCTGTATGTTATACATGTTTGGGCAAAATAAATTATAATACTTTTTTATTCTTCATTTGTTGTGAATTCTTTTTTAAAATAATGGCAATTTGGACATCTGCCTTTTTATGGTGGGATTTTTTTGTTTTTTAATTTCATTTTTTCATCCTACTTTCTGATTTCAGACTTTATATTAGGACCAAGGTCTGTGTACTTTTGCAGTGAATTTCTGGGCTGGTGTTGTTGCTGTTTTCTTGGGGGTAGTGAGTGTTTTATTATTTCAGACTCTGAGGGACAAGCTTAGGCTTTCAGTGTCCCCAGAATGGTCTGATTCAGCGCAGGTTCTGATCTGGGTTTGGTTCTGAGCAACAGTTGACTGTTGTAGGCCTCAATCACTATCAACCAGCTGGAAAACTCTGCTAGTTCTTAGTGACAAGAGCTATAGGCTTCCCTTTAGTTTGGGATTTCTGCTCTGATTATTCCTCTGCAATCTTTAGATTGAGCTGGAATCTCCCTCTACTCCTGAGGTCTAAGCAGAGATGTGTTGGATACAGTTCGTATCTGCTTTGGAGAGTCAATTTTTAGATTTTCAGTGTCAGCATTTATACCTCAGAAATTGGCAAACGCTACAAATCCAGGCTTGATTTATTGTTTAGTTGATTGTCTAGACTTAAGGAAGTGATGGAGAAAACGTTAATAATGCAGACTGAATTTTAAATTATATTGTGAATACACTACCATGACACTCCCCCCACCCCAAGAGCTGGTTGTTAAACATTTACCAGTATACCTCTGGCTCTGAACCACCTAGCTGCTATTTGCTTCTGGATAATAATTAATCGTAAGCTGGATAGAGGAGGGGAATGCTAGGGACCACATCTCTAAGCACAAGTCCTCCTTCAGCCCTGAATCTGTGACCTGGACCTGTGTGGTGATTTATTGACAGAACTGCCAGTTGACAACCGTTCCTACATCCTACACTAGTTTAGGCCCCTCTATGCTGGGTTTGGGATCTCTTCTTGCCCAGGTATACAGCCTCTTTGCACTAGAGAGCTTCCCATGTGCTCCTGGCCAGACCCAATCCCCAAGTGTCTGCAGCTCTCTCTGCTTGTCTTTCGGTGCCGACTTAGGCTGGAAAAATGATTCATCGTGATTTTTTTTTCAGATTTTCCAATAATGACTTAGTCTGATAAGTTTTCTAGATGTGTTTGGAAGAGTGAGAAGTTCATGTACTTCCTGGTTTTTGCATCTGGAGCCATCTCCCATTGTTCTGGGCCCAGATGGCTTAAGAGGAGAGGGAGGCTGGTGACTGCACAGCCCTGCCTCACTTGCATGTCATGGCATCACCTTCCTGATGTCATGGTCCTCTTCAAGAACGAAGGACAAACAACAACTTTGTCTGGGCCTCTAGAAGGAGCAAGCCCTTGGTTACTTACCTCTCTTAGGGTTAGATACTCTTTTTGCTGTTGTTCAGTCCAGTCTGACTCTCCATGACCCTATTTGGGGTTTTCTTGACAAAAATACTGGAGTGGTTTGCCATTTCCTTCTCCGGCTCATTTTACAGATGAGGAAACTAAGGCAAACAGGCTGAAGTAACTTGCCCAGGATCACACAACTAGTAAGTGTTTGAGACTGGATTTAAACTCAGGTCTTCCTGACTCTTGGCTGGGTGCTCTATCCACTGCAACATCTAGCTGCCCTGGAAGATACTCTTATGTGCTCCCAAAATCTTCAGAGTTTAGTACCTAAAAGAATTTGAGCTAGCTAAGGAGGCAAGGTTGTTGTTCTCTACCCTAGCAGGCCACATTCCTGTCTTAATTATGCATATCTGTCAGCAGAAAAGTCTGAATGCTTTGATGTAATATTTTGGCCTGAAAAAAACCTCAAGTCTCTCTACCAACCTGTCCAACTCTTCCACAAATTTCCCTTCAGGCTGGAACTCTTCTCTTACAATCCTTCCATATGATAATCTTCATTATTCATGCCTACTGAAACTGCATCTTGGACCATCTTCTTTAGCATTGACTATATCCACACTCACACTGTTCCACATGCTGGTCCTGGAGAGTGAATGTTGTTGTTTCACCTTCATTTTCAAAGAGGACCAGGACATCATGAGCTGATGTCTTGACTTACACGAGAATTGGATTTAAGTGAGGCAAAGTTGCACAAAGTTGTCAGCCTCTCTCTTCCAAAGTCCAGTGGCAAGACAAAAGTCAGGATGATTGATGAGGTCCAAGATGTAGTGGATGACCTTGACATCTTTAATGTCTGACCAAAATCTAAGCACTCCACACCCCCTGTTTTAGCTGCCTTCATGGCTGTTGGTATAAATTATCCTCATCTGTCCATTCTTCAGGAGAGGAATGGGAAGTCTTCACATGCTTGGAGTAGACATCCCCCTGACTAACAATAATTTTGAGGCCTGGAGAGTGAATACTCTACTGTGAATACCCTAACAGTGAATAGCCTACTCTCATTCCATATTCTCCCTTTATCACCTTCATTTAGCAACCTGTTCTCCTTTGAAATTCACCCAAAATTTCCATGTTACACAATACACCCAGGATATTGTCCCTTTCTCAAGGTGCTCATCCCAGGTTCACTGTTTTCCTCTTTCCCCAACTCTTCCCATTATGCTAGGAGACTTCATCATCCATATTTACGCTTCCTCAAATTTCCTAACCTCCCAGTTCTTTAGCCTCTTCAAATCCTGGCCTACTTTACCTCAGTCATACCTAGGGACAGTCACAACCTGGATCTCACCATTCTCAAAAAGCATTCTACTTCCTTAATCAAAAATTCTGACATTCCTCTACCTGGCCATAGCTTCCTATCATTCCATCTCTCCTTATTCCTCTTCATCCCTCCTAAACCTCTTCTTTGCTTTCATTTTGACCTCTAATTCTTATATTCCTCATTACTTTTTCTAACCTTTGATCTGACTTCACTTTCCTTCCTTTCTAATCTTGAACCTACAGTTCATAGGATCATAGATTTAGAGTTCAGATGGCTTAGATGGCTCTCAAGATGTACCTCATCACTCAAGTTCTTTTTTGTCCTTCGTTCTTGATTGGTGATGCCAGTTAATGGAAATTTTTAAATCTGTAGGAGGGGTAGGGAAGAATGAAGAATTTAGTTCATGCTGAGTTTGGGGCACAGGTCAGACATCTGGGTGAAGATGTTCAACCAATGGGTGGGTGTTAACACAGATCTGATGGCCCATGAAGGAGGCAGGACTGAAGAGAATACTTAATTCTTGCCCATATCTGTTGACATAAAACTGGATTTTGCCCTGACCAGAATAGGAGCTCCCCAGAAACAGAGGACAAAAGTGTAGACTGGGTCATGGACAAAAAAGCTGAAGCTCAAGAAGGCAGGACCTCTGGACTGCAGAAAGAGGGCTCCGGGAGAAGTGGACATTGGGTCCAGTAGCCCATATCCCATGAAGTTTCTCTGAGGTCTTCTGCCTCTTTTTGTATCCCAAGCGCTTTGCACAGTGTCTGGCATACAGAAGGTGCTCAACAAATGTTGATTAACTGATTGATTGAAATTCCCTTCTCCTTTAGAAACACGGCTCCTCCCTATGCCCCGCCCTCGCTCTCTCATTGGTCCCCTCGGCCCCATCCTTTTCCTTCATTGGTCTGTCTCCCTCTCCTGGCGCCTCACCCTTTCCTCTCATTGGCCTGCCTCCCTTCCCTCCCTTACCGCCCCATTCCTCCCGGTAATTAATCTTACTTAGCTCTCTTCAACCCTCCACTGGAGCCCCACTTTTTCCCTCATTATTTTGCCTTTCTCCTTTCCCTACCGCCCCATCCCTCCCCTTCCTTGGTCGTCTTCCTTCCCTGTCCCACTCTAATCCCTCATTGATCCACCTCCTCTTTCCTTAGGCCCCCCCCCCCGCGCCCCACTCTTTCCCTCATTCATTGGTCCACTCCTTTCTTGGAGTCCCGCCCCTCCTTCTCATTGGCCTGCCTCCCTTCGGCTCCTGGCCAGCGCCACTCAGCAGCACTCCCTCGTCCTTAGGTACCGCCCTTTCGGTCCCGGGGACTCTCGGTTGTATAAGACTGTGTCGTCATGGTAACCTCCCGCCACGCAGAGGTCTCGCCATGGCCTGGAGAGATGCCTGGAGCTCTGCTGGCCCCCACGCTCACGTCGCTCAGCTGCAGGCCCCGGCGGTGAGAAAGGGGTCCGGGATGTGTGTGAATCAGAGGCTCAGCTGAGGGACGGAGAGGTGGGGGTGAAGGGGAGAACATGGACCCCCAGAAAAGGGGGGGGCGCGGAGAAGAGGACGTGGACCAGGTGGGGGGAGAGAGAACTTGGGGTGTGGAGGAAGGGGGATAGGGGCTGGACCCGTGATTTCATTGGTATAGGGGACCCCCAGGTGAGGAAATTCACTCTACTAATGCAGTTCGGCATCCTCTCTCAAACCCAAAGTCTCAAAGAGTTGTCTAAGTGACTTGCCCACGGTGACTGACATAGCTAGTATGTATCAGACTTGAAGCCTCCTCTATGTCATGCTGGCAAATGGAGAGGGAGAGAAGGCAGAAATATATTAGAGGGTGGAGAATGTGGCTTTGATCAGGACGGGAAGAATGAGCGACGTCACACACAGCCCCAAGGAGACCAAGTACTTAACCTTGTTCTCACAGAGAGGAAGAGGGTGACATGGGGTACAGGTACCACAGGTCTCTTATCCCCCTGTCTTGGCCTAGCCTGGTTTGAACTTGTGTCCCAACCCTCCAGCCTTCAGTAACTATCCTGCAGTCTCTCCCAGGGGCTTGGGTACCTCCTCATCAGCCAGGACACATGAAGGAAGGTGAGATTTCCAGAACTCCCCCATCTCTCCTTTTTTCCCACCACCCCTTCTGCCCTACTAATCAGCTCCCTGTCCCTGTCTCTGGCTACTAATTTTGAATCTGCCCAGGGAAGAGGCTTTCAGGACCTCTCTAGGGTTAGGATTGTTGGTCACCCCCTTCTAACCAATTTCCTTAACCAGACCTACTGTCACTGATGATGCTACAGAACGTCCAAATGCACCAGCTGCTCATGAGTCGCCTGACAATGAGTGCCCTTGACTCCACACTCCTGACTTCCCAGGTTTGTTGACCCTGGCAGGGGATGGTCCAAGGTTCTTGCTTTTTTGACCAGGGATCCTTGTGATAGAACTGTGTGGAAAAATAAGATAGGGTGTCACCTTCAACTTAGACTGGCATGCCCCTAGAATACCTGGTCACTCAGCAGTGTCTAGGGCAGTGGTCCCCAAAGCGGGTGCTGGAGCCTCCTAGGGACATTATGGAAGGATCCCAAGGACTATGTGATCAGCTAATCAGAGGGTGGGAATATTAATATTAATAATAATAGTTGAATAATATGAATAATATGAATAACCAGTCTCCACCCTACTTGTATCCAACATAACCACACCTACCCTTATCTTCCAGCACTTTCACACTCTGTCTCTCCATTAGCTATTCCTAACCTACGTCTTCTGAACCAGGTATTGTATCCTGAGGATAGTTATAACCAAATCCCACTAAGTACAACAGCAGCTATCTCTCCCTGCCTGGAGCAACCCATCCCTCCCCATCAGATCACCTCAGAAGCTGTAGCAGGTGCACCTTGAAGGGTGGGTTCTGTTCCTCAAGTCAGTGGATGAGACAGAGTGAGTTGCCCAGAATGAGCAAGCATAGATGTGTTGGGACAGGTTAAAGATTTCATTACACTTTCTTTAACCTCAAACTCAACCTTCTTCCACACTGACCTTATTGCTTTTGAAGACACTTGCATTCTTATAGTCACTCAGGATCACAACCATGATGTCATCCTTGACTCCTTCCCCCCACATATTCAAGCAGTTCTTCTCTTCACAACATCTCTCAAATCCATCCCCTTCTCTCCACTCACAGAGCCACCATCCTAGTTCGTCAGGTGCTCATCATTTCTCACCTGTATGATTCCAACAGCTTCCTAGTAGGTCTCTCAGTTTCAAGTTTCTTCTCTCCAATCCATCCTCCACACACAGCTGCCAAAGTGATTTTCTTAAAGTAAACATCTGATTATGTCACTCCCTTATCAATAAACTCTAGTGGTTCCCTGTTAACTGTGGTATCAAATCTTGTTTCATCCTTATTTCATTCTTTTTGGCATAAGTTTTATTATGTACATAATTCTTAAAACAGTAGCATATATAATTTATAAAAAAGCAAATATACATATATTGAGGATACATACTCCAAACATTTTTACTGATAGGAATGAGCAACCAAACCATTGGTCTGGGGATTCAGATCATTCCTTGAACATTCTCCCCTGAAGAAGGCAGAGGAGGGAGAGAGATAAATAGTGATAGTTATTCTCTACCCACCAGTACTGTGCCTTATTTTCCTCTGCTGTTGGGGGAGGTTGGATTGGTTTAGATAGAACTTCACTTGAGAATATGATGTGAGCAGAAGTAGGGTCTAAATATAGGGGGACACAGAGAGGACTGGAGGCTAATGGTTGGAACTTTAGGGTCTTGGAGAGGAAAAGAGGGATTGGAGGGAAAAGGGAATGGAATTCCAAAGGGAATACCTTTGCATGGTAGAAGTCTAATTAAACATCCCTTCTTCCCTTCCTTTTCAGGTCAACATTCTGAGCCTGCAGGATGAAGAAGAGGAGGACGAGGAGGAAATACTAGTGTTTCACCACCATTACCTGCCTTGGTCATCCCCAGCCCCAGTCCCCCTGCTTCCCTGTCCAGTGCAAGACCCACGTCAGTCTTGGCTCCGAGAAATCTCAGAGTTTAGGAATCTCCCTCGAGACTCACAGATCATCCCATCTGCCAGGTTGTAGGGTGTATGATTGACATTTGAAGGGAAGGGGGATGGATGATGCTATGAGGGGAAAGTGATGGAAAAGATTCTTTGCTAGAGAATGGGGTTTGAAAAGGTCATCTAGGGATAGGGATTGGCAAGAACAGATTGTGGTGTTGAACATGAAAGACATCCACTATTCCCTGACCATTCTTTGTCTTTCCTCTCCCTTAATCCAGGAGAGGAGTACCCCCTCCCCCACCTCCCAGTGCCACAGGGACAGTGGGTGCTGATGTACCACCTGCCTCAGGTAGGGCTCTACCCAACCTACTTTTCAACCATCCCCATGTGGCAAGGTTGGGAAGAGTCAGGACTGGGACCAAGAATGAGTAGAAGAAAAACCTGACTTTAAGCTTTAGGGGAAGAATTTGTGGTCCACCAAACACAATCTTCCCTTCCTCAATATAGTTATGCTTATTGCCTTGGTAAAATGGACTGCATGCTGAAAGGGAGCTTTATTCCCTTCTAGTCATATGTTCTCTTCCACTTTTTCTATCTGGTTGCTCATGCAAATCCCCTTCTCTACCCACGATCTAGCTGTAGACTTTTCTGACCCTTCTCTTTTTCCCATACCAAGAGGGTTACTTTCTCCCTAGACTACTATGATGTGGCAGAGGGACAATTGTGACACTACCCCTGATGGACTGGCTTCTTTGGCTACACGGTAGGAGAGTTACATGTTCTACAACCTCCCGTCTTGGGCAGCTACAGACAAGGCAACTTGTGGGGTCAAGAACCTCACCCTCCGCTTCTCATTTTCCCGTAGCTCCATGCTTCCTGTTTGTCTCTGTCAAACCCCCTGCAGTCCTTAGACTTCCCAGTCCCAAAGTCTCTCCCACAGTACCTCACTCACCTCTATATGGTACCTCCCCACGGGAGGAAGACCAGTGCTAAGAGTAATCCTGACTCCTGAGTCCAGTGTTTTAGGGAGTTAGGGTAGAAATAAAGAGCCAGGGAGTAGACATCAAGGTTCCCTCTTCTTCCCTCTCTATTTTTCTCTCTGCCATGTTACAGCTCCCATCTCCTCTCCACCCTCTCCAATCCTTCATATCTCTTATGCAGTGTTAGTTTGCACTTCTCACCCCCAGTAGACTGGTTGGTTCTACCACTGCCCTTACCTGTGCAGTTCTCCTTTTCCGCTATAGTATTCAGAGATGGGAGGGAGTTTAGAGATTATCTAGTCTAATCCTTGCACTTTTCAGATGAAGAAACTGAGGTCCAGAAGGGAGACCTGGCTTGTCCACAGTTGCACAGGGAATAAATAGATCACCTGAACCAATGTTCTCTGACTGTAAAGTCAGTACTTTTTGCCTCTCTGTTTCATATTGTTTCCAACTTTGGGAGAATGTTGTGGAAAGGACTGGGACTGATTTAGCATGGAATGTGGGAAGGGAGTGTAGACTTGTTATCTGGTAAATACTGATATTGACCAGGTCTCAAGAGCAACTTGGAAAAGAGTGATATGGGTCACAGAGGGCCAGGGAAGAGGTATTAGAAGACTTAGGACTGAGGATGGTAGAAATCCTGGAATTTGGCCCTCTTCTCCCCCCTCTTTATCCTAATTTTCAAGGCCCATTTTAGGAAAGCAGAGGGTAAGATCAAATCCCAGAGGGAATTGCTGCAGCCAGACCTTGCTGTGGTAGGATTTCTGCCTGGGACGTCTCTCTGACTCCTGATGAAGGGAGATGGGGCAGGGGTGGAAAAGATTAAGAGCAACGAGGTGGGGGTTATCCACAGATACACTTGTGCTGGCTCACCCTCCAGAGGCATTTTCATCCTGACTCTTGCTGATGCCAGGCTCTTAAAGGCTTCCCTCTGCCTTCCTTTATTCCCTCAGCCCAAAGAGTCAGCAAGGACAATGTGCCCAGGAGAAGTAACTAGTGGTCCCACTAGTAACTAGTGGAGTTGTGGAGGGGGGAATGGTAAGAGGGTCTGGTTTGGGCAACTAAAGAGAGGAGAGTTAAATCCTAAGTGTGTTTCTGTCCTGTGCTTAGATTTTGATTTCTAAAGAAAACAATTAAGACATTGTCAAGACTTGGAGTTTGGATTAAGGCCAACAGAACATGTTTTCCCAAGGCCTTTCTGGGAAAGATGGACCATTCCCATCACACACACACACACACACACACACACACACACACACCCTTTTGTTTCTCACCACTCACTAAGTTATAGATGACCCATGACAGCAAAGGCATCCCCCACCCTTCAGGTCCATGTTGTCATTCTGGATCGTGATCATCTGTTTCTGTAGTTCCTCCAGGCAGCAAGTACCCCATAGCCCCCTGTTCGGTGTTGACGCCAGTGTTGTCCATAAGCAAAACACAGGCAGACTGAGATCACAAACACCAGCAGCAGCAGAATCGTGATGATGATGATGATGAGCATCTGGTTGTTCCAGGAGGGTTCTGGAAAGGGAAAGGGCAAGTGTGAAAGCACAATCCCCTCCCAGTTCAGCTTGGGTTGAGCAGAGCCGTGGGTCCTGGAGGGTGCTGATTTCCTAGGACACCAAAGGCTGGCTCACAGGATGCTTGACTTTTACTCAACTGGTGAAGCCTTAGTACTTTGTTCTAGGTACCGGCAAGCATCTGAAGGCCTTTTAGGTACGAGGTGCTACAAAGAGATGCAGAGATAACAAACAATCTCTACTGATCTAGCTTGTAGTCTGGAAACCATTCTAGCCTTGAGCATCATGCCAAAGGGTCAGGCTTGTCAGGTTCTCACCACGGGACCCTGCAGTCTGGATGGTGAAGCTGACTTGGGCTGCATTTACCCCTCCTAGGGAGAGTGCAGCTTGGTTTTTGGTTTGCCAAAGACCTCCCCGATTAGGGACCTAAGGCTTTCACCTCCAGCTGCTCACAGTCCTTGGTCTCCAAGATTCTAGGACAAGGTGGGCAAAGAACTAGAGATCATGGGATTTGTATGGGGGAAAGGGAAGTAGGAAAGATATTGAAAGGAAGAAGGAGCCCTGTGAGCAGGGTTGAGAGAGTCACAGCAGATTAGCTGCCAGCATTGTCAAGGAGCAGCCTCCTGGCAAAAGCTGAGAGCAAGGCTTAGAGTGCTTCTAAGGCTCTAAAGGAGGAAGCAGGAAAAACAGACTCAGAATCAGTTTCCCCCTGGGGTCCTGCCAGACGTACCAAATATCTCGAGCATTTTGGGCTGTGAGGTGGCAGAGAAGAGCTGCTCACAATATGGCCTGAGGTCCAGCTCTGCGCGACAAGAGAAGTTACTCTTACTATCTTCCCTTCGAGCAGTGACGTTGAGGGTGAGCCAGGCATCCTGCAGAGCTGTAGACACAGTCACAAAGGTCTGGCGATATAGCTTTTCGGTGCCTTGGAGCAGAGTGAGCGTGAGGTTCTCCAGCGGGACCACATTAGGCACATGGCATGTCAAGGTGAAATTCTTACCCACAATCACCCAAGAAGGCTGCAGGCTCAATGTCACCTGCTCTGGTGGCCCTTAGGGGACAAAAAAAAAGTAATAACCTTGTGAGTGGAAGACCTAGGGAAGGGACTGCCACCTTCTCTCCAAGGAGTACAAGGACAATAAGGGGAGCCCTCATCAGTGCTGCTATCTCTTAACCAGCTTATATGCTTCACTTGTATGAAAGGGCTTGGACTATTGGCTCATTGTATGGTATAAATAAGGAGGAAACTATTCAGGGTGAAGAGTTTATTGCTTCATTTCACCGTCTTAGAGATGGTTTGGGCCTTGGAGTCTCAAGTGGATTGCATCAATTTGGACAGATATATGTCTAGACAAGATTTAGAAATATTATAACAAACTGAAAAGACTCCAGTTTAAGTTCTCCATCCCACCGTCTTCCCCACCCCCAACAATTAAACTACCCACATGGAACATTTACTTGTTGTACAGCTTGTAACAAGTTAGTGAGTAATGCTGGACAGGGAATGTGGAGGGGGAAGCCCACGCTGGTGGGGCCAAGATTGGGGAAGGGGCCAGATCTTGTCCACTCACGGTATATGATGACACTGACCGACTTCCTCTTTTGAATATTAGAGCACATGAAGTAACAAAAGATGTTGGTATTCTCGGAGAAATTTGATAAGTGAAACAACTTCCAGTGAGTCCCTTCTTTCTGCGTGTTCATTTTTATGTTACGAGTTTCAATGCCTCCTGCTTGAGGGTATGTACAGTTGGTGCTGCAGTTGATCCACAGGTCCTTGCCAGCCTCAACCACAGGCCACTCTGGCTGCATTCTCACCTCAAATAGCTCCTCACCTGCTACTGAAAGAAGCAACAGCAAATACCGCATTTCAGGAGTATGCACGCATGCTTGTGTGCTTGTGTGTGTGTATGAAGTGGGATGAATTCTTGTACTGTGCCTATTTGAGGACATTGGCATGGGTGGTTTAGGGAGACATATCATAGATTTTCCAGATTTAGGGTCAGGGCAATTTATTATTAAAGGGAGCTAACATATAGCGCTTTAAGTTTTGCAAAGCACTTGATGTAATTATCTCATTTGATCCTCATAACAACCCTGTGAGGTAGGTATTACAAATATTATTAATGACATTTTACAGATAGGTAAATTGATACTAGAGAGGTTAAGTGACTTGTACATGGTTTCACAGCTAATGTGAGAGTCAGAAGTGAAACCTAGCCCTCTCTTGGCTCTTAAGTCCAGCATTTCCCCCACTGCATCATATGTTGGCCTCTGCCCAATACCGTTCACATCCAACCCTTTTTACTTCCATCGCTCAGGCCCTCATTACTTTTCTTCTTGGCCAATAGACAAATGAGAATGCCAACAAAGGTGGTGTCTTACCCAAAGTCACATAAGTAGTAAGTAGGAAAACCAGGATTTGAACTCAGATCCTCTTGACCCCAAAGTTTGCTGCTTTTTAAATTTTTTTTTTAAACTATATTACCCTGTTTCCTTATCTTCCTAATTGGTCTCTCCTCAACCTTCCTTTTCAAACCCATCCTCCATATTTCTGCCAGATTAATCTTAAAACATAACTAGAGTCATGTTGTCCCCTATTGAGTGAAGTCTGACCTCTCTAGCATGGCATTAAAGGCTATCTACAATATCGCTCTAAACTACCTCTACTGTTTTATCTCCAGTTACTCCCCTGAATGTACCTACCTCACTCTGTAGCCAAACTAGCCTATTCTCTGTCCCACCCTCCCCACCACCGCCACACCTATGCTCAAGAGTTAAACCTCTTTGGAATGCCCTCTATCAACATCCTCCTCTTTCCCCTTCAGGATCTAGTTCTGATACCTCCTCCTTCATGATGCCTTCCCTGATCTTCCTGTAGACTATAATCACTAATAGGACACATAATCTCTCCTGGGGCTTGAATTGTACTGTCACCCATTCAATGTTCACCAGCTTACCAGCCACACCCCCCCCTTTCCCTTGGTGCACAATCAAATATTGGTACCTTTAGAAGCCTCTACTGAACAGTCACTCCCTCCTTCTATGGGAGTGGAATGAAGACTTACTCTCACCTTCATATTTGAGAAGCACCTCTTAGTTATACAAACTCTTTCTTGGAAGTTGTCTGAACCATGGGGGGCAGTGGGAGGGCGGGGAGGTGGTAGAAGGAAACCTGTCAAATGGGACCTAAATCATTTCCTTGAGTAATATAGAACTTTCAAGGGGAGGGAGTGTTAGTGGTGAGGAAAAACACTAAGGTTCTAGAAATCTTACCCATGAAACAGAAAGGGATTGGAGAATAGATTGAAATGCAAAATTCAATAATATATTATTTACAAGAAATATACTTAAAACCTAGAGTCACACAGAGTTAAAATGATGGGAATTTGTCATGCTTCAGGTGAAAAGAAAAAAACAAGGGTGTAAATAAGGAGGAAACTAATTGAACTACAGAAATATACATCAAGACTATAATAGTTGAGGGCCTTAATATATCCCTTTCAGAACCAGACAATTCTAACTCAATAAATATGAAAGAAGGAAAGAACCACAAAGATAAAGACCTTTTGAAAAATTAAATATGATTGATTTCTGGCAGTTACTGGATAGAATAAGAAAGGCATATACATATTTCTCAACTGTGTATGGCACCTTTACAAAAAGTTGCTGTACCAGAATACACAAACTTCATAAACAAATACAGGAAAGCAGAAATATTAGATACATCCTTTATTGACCATAATGCAATAAAATTATAATTAGTAGAGAGACTTTGAAGAAAAGAGTGAAACCTAAAAGAAAATTAGTGTAATTGTAAAGAATTGGTGTGCCAAAGAACAAATCATAGAAACAATAGATAATTTCATCAAAGATAATGACAATGAGACAAATACTAAAATTGTGGAATGTAGTCAAAGCAGTCCTGAGGGGGAAAGTTATATCTCTAAGCTTTGATCAGTATTGGATTTACAAGTATGTTCTATCAAACATTCAAAGAACAATTCTTTCCAATATCATATAATATATTTGCAAAAATACAAAAGCTGTCCTAACACCTCTTTTTATGATATAAATGTAGTTTCGATAATCAAACCAGGTAGAGACAAATCAGAATATGGATGAGAACTACAGACTAATGTTCCTAAAGAATATTGGTGAAAAAATTAAAGTATTATCAAAGAGACTACAACAATATAATAAAAAACTATATACCAAGACTAGTTTAGATTTATACCAAGAGTACAAGATCAGTTTAATATTAGGGAAATGATAAATAATAGACTATATTGACATAATAATATTAATATTATTATTATATTATACTTATATATTATAATGAATTAATATAATATAATAATAAAACAATAAAAACCACATGTTTATTTCAATGCAGAAAAAACTTTGACAAAATACAACCTCCATTTTTGCTTTAAAAACCAATATGAATGGCCCTGGACTCAGGAAGACTTGAGTTCAAATCTGGTCTCGGACCATACATTTGACACTAGCTGTGTGACCCTGAGCAAGATATTTAACCCTAATTGCCTCACAAAACAAAAACAACAAAAAAAAAACCAATATGAAGAATAAAATAAATGGACCTTTCCTTAATACGATAAAATTTATCTAAAATTGCATTGTATGTAAGGGGAAAATGTTAGAGACCTTTCTAATAAAATCAAGCATAAATCAAGGATATTGATATCACCACTACTATTTTATATAGTTCTAGAAATCTCTGCTATGGGCATGAAGATAAGGAAAAAATAAACCCTGAAGGAATAGGCATAGGCAAAGGGGAACCAAAATTATTGTTGTTGTTTCTGGTAGATGATATGATGGGCTACTTAGAGTACCTGAGGGATTCAACTAAAATTTAATTGAAACATTAACTTCAGTAAAGTAGCAATATATAAAATAACACCCTTAAAAAGAATCAACCTTTCTGTATATTACTAACAGAACCTAGTAGGAAGAACTAAAAGGAGAAATTCCATTCAAAATAAATATAGGATTTATATATATATATATATAGATATGTGTGTGTGTGTGTATATATATGTGTGTGTATATATATATATTATATATATATATATAAGCTGTATATCAAGGCACTCAAGAATTATCTAATTACAACTACAAAATTTTCTTCACAGAAATGAACAGACCTAAATAATTGGAGAGATATTAATTTCTCACAGTTGAATTGTGTCAGTATAATTAAAGTGACTACCAAAAGGTTACTTTAAAGAAATTTTTTTAAAAATTTAGTTCCTGGGGGGAAAGATTCACTATTTGACAAAAACTGTTGGGAAAACTAGAAAGCAGTCTGGCAGGAATTAGGTTGTTCAGTCTTGTCCAACTCTTCATGACCCCTTTTGGGGTTTTCTTGGCAAAGATACTGGCATGGTTTGTCATTTCTTCTTCCAATTCATTTTTACAGCTGAGGAAACTGAGGCAAACAGGGTTAAGTAACTTGCCCAGGGTCACACCACTAGTAAGTGTCTGAGGCTGGATTTGAACTAAGGGAGATGAGTCTTCCTGATTCCAGCCCCAGCACTCTATCTGTTGTACCACCTAGCTTGCCCATTGTGGGGTTAGCTAAATAAGAACCTTAATATGTGGGGTTAGCATCTCAAACCATACATTATGATCAACTTTAAATGCAGTTATGATCTAAAGATAAAGGTCATATCATAAACAAGTTAGGGAAGGAGATACCTTTTTTGGACATAAAAATTCTCAATTGAAAGGATCATAAGTGATAAAATTATCAATTTTCATTAAAATTGAAAAACATTTGTATAAACAAAATCAATTCAGTTAGAATTAATAGGGAAACAGTGAACTTAGAAAAAATCTTTTGAATGAGTTTCTCTGATAAAAGTCAATCATCTTTTAAAGGCAGTTACTATGGCCTCAAGGACATTGTTGGGTAGAATTAGCTAAATTGCTCTTAGTTAAAGAGATTGCATGGTCCTGTACCTACTATTACATAGCATTATGGCTCCTTTGTCCAGATTGAGGATATACCCCTCTCTCTTCTCTCCTCTCCTTTCCTCTTCTTGTGATAACCTTAATTTATTTATTCTGTTAAGCAGAGGCCATGTAATGTCTTTGATGGCACTACCATACTGTAGAAGCAGCCAGACGGTATACTGGATAGAGTGCTCTGAACTTAGTACAGTGCCCGGAACATAGTAGGCCCTTAACAAATGCTTGTCAACTTTTTGTCCACCCTATGTTTCAAAACCATATCTGAAGCTCCTTACAGGAAACAGTATCACCACCCTCTCACCATCTAACATGGTAGTGGACACCATGCCTCCTCTCATCATCTCCCGCGCATCTATTTGTATAGACAACTCTATTTACTCAGACAGCTGTTGCTCAAACTTCACTGATTGATTTGCCTTGGCCTATATGGTGGTCTGGTAGGGAAGGCCATAGTTAAAGTCTGATCCCATTCATGTAAGGGCTTCACCCAAAAGACAGGCTCTAGTTGTACCTAAAGCAGGCTGGTCATCCAGAATAGGGGATGATAAAGAGGAGGCATACAGTCTATCAAATCTATATCTTAAAAAAAAACAAACCAAAAACAAATTTCACCCCTCTTTAAAGAATCAACTGTAGAAGGGATTCAACTTTGTGGATATAAGTATGAAAAGCTCCCAATTTCAGACACCTGAAAAAGGGACAAAAGACAATCCTCATCTAGGACGTCTAATTTATTTAGCTAACCCCACAATGGGCAAGCTAGGTGGTACAACAGATAGAGTACTGGGCCTGGAATCAGCAAGACTCATCTTCCTGAGTTCAAATCCAGCCTCAGATACTTACTAGTGGTGTGACCCAGGGCAAGTTACTTAACCCTGTTTGCCTCAGTTTCCTCAGCTATAAAAATGAATTGGAAGAAGAAATGACAAACCATGCCAGTATCTTTGCCAAGAAAACCCCAAAAGGGGTCATGAAGAGTTGGATAAGACTGAACAACAAAACTTCATAGTAAAAATCTTCTGTAAGTTCTCCCAGTCAACTGAACTCTGAAACTGACAAAAACTCTGAGTTGTCCCCATTAGACCATACCCTCACAAGCCATTATTCTAATGTTCTAATCTTGCTGTTTAAATGTTTTCCTGTAATTACTCACCTTCTCACTTAATCATAGAGGAAGTTTCCATAGAGTTAATATCCCAGGAGATAGTAATGTTATAAAATCTGGGGATTTCTTATTTCGTGTTCCAGTTTCCAATCTTCATTGTCATTCCCACTCCTATCCTTTTCCCTTATAGTCCTAGTCTTGGCATGGTTTAACACATTCTTCAGAGAAACTTCTAGGTCAGAGATCATATTTCCCATCTGTAACCCATCAGTCTCCCTAAGCATTGCCTTTTCCACCTATATTATCACTATGTCCCTAAGTCATTCCTCTGCCTTCAAGGCATAGTTTTTAAGGATAAAAAACTCATCCCCTTCTGACTCTATCTAATATGCACAAATAAGATTATCTTCATTTTGTTTGTCAACAGTTCACTTTTTCCAAAGCAGCCAACGAGAACCAAGGAATACATGATTTTGCTACATTTTTACTTTCCTTGTCAAATTCCTTAAGTATGCATGCGCCTAAGGTGATGAGGGGCTTTCTCCTTATCCCACTCAGATAGGTCCCCACATACCCCAAACAGTGTTCTGGCTACAGAACACTACAATCCTGTGTCTGACTGTATCGCCCAAAATGCCCATCCTTTTCCCTCTTCACAAATTTAACCACAAAGCTGTTGCTGGGCCAGGCCTAACTTAGGCCCTTCCAGTAATTCTGACTCAGGCTTAGAATGTAATGAAGTACTCACGGACCCAAAATACAAGAAAAACAACTTTAACGGTGACAAAGGGTAAAAAGGTTATAATTTCTAAGGTTAAAAAGATATCAATTCAAATAAATAAAGGCTAGTCCCCTCAGTCTCCACATTCACCTCTACAAGCCATGCTAAGGAAGGAAGGCAGGCCTTCCCACTGGGCAATAGGAGCTCCAGTAAAACCCCTAATCTATCTCTCCGTTATCTTTGCATCACATGGAAAGGAATCCAAAAGGCCTCCCTCCCCGTTAAAAGTCCAGCCCAGCCTCCATCAAACAGGTGGCTGCTCTTACCACAGAGAGTAAAGAATCTAAGATGACTGACGTTATGAACCTTCCTGACTGGGTAAACTAACTTTGTGGCTGGCTACATCTTGGCCTATACTTTTAGCATGCCCTCTTAATCCCTCTCAGGGCCAGGATTTCCTCACAGCTGCTGAGATCCCCCGGGCCAATTCGGAGGACAGAAGCTATTTTTCGTTACTAGGAACCTCTCCGCCATTCCCCATTGTCCTTCCCACTTTCTCTTCCCAGAGGGAATAGATTTTAGTACTATTTTGACTTCAGCACAAGGAAGGAAATTCATTCTAATTACTTGGAAGTTGTCCAGGTCAGAGAAAATTGTGAGACTATAGGGATAGAGACATCAGCTGCTCTTTGGCAGAAATCTGGCAGATTTTGGATGCCTGGGAAAGAGACCCCAGACCCAACACAGAACCATTTTTGAAGTATAGGCATGGGACTAAGTCTCTTTATCGCATCTCCTGGAGCTTTCCCAGACTCCTGAGCCTTGTGTTGTCTACTCATTGGGCCCCACCTGAGTGGACCGCATTCATCATAACAGCAATGGACGGAGGGACGTAATATTTATTAAATGCTTACTAGGTGCCAGGCACTGTACCAAGCATTTTATAAGTATCTTGTCCTGTCTTAAACAGAATTTGAGTCATTAAAAACTGGTCCCCCTGTCCTCATAAAAAAAGGCAAGGATGGGTCTTAATTCAAGGAGCAGGGAGCTAAATTGAATTGGGGGCTAGGACACACTTGACCCAGGGGTATCATTCCAGCCTTCTTAATACATTTCCATTCAGATAGGCAGCTGTTGCTTTGGAATCCCAAGGACATTAACAGTTCCATGATCTAGGAAAAGTGAGGTAGGTGTCTCCCCCCAACACCCAGAAGAGCTAAGCAAAGTGTTACTACCCAAGCCTTGCTAGCCCCTCCCTCTGATAGCAGCTTTTGCTTTTCCATCCAGTACTTACGGTTATGGCCAGCAGAAATTTTTACCATTTTCCTCACCTGGAGAGGAGAGCAGGGTCAAGAAAGCCATCAGGACCCAGGTACTGAAAAGCAACATTTCCACACAGATAGACTAGTGGGGAAGTAGCTGAGAGCGTGGTAGGAAAGAGAAAGAGAAACAACTTTGGGCGGATCTGGTTTAAGTAACTGCCTGGTAGGTGTCCCCTGCAGTCAAGAATAGCTAGTATGCTCTAAACCAACATGACAATTTCCTCCAATTGTTTAAGCATTTCTAGAAAATATATGCTACAAGAAACCAAAGGAAGTAGAATAGCAACTGATAAGCCTACTTTTGTATAAAGAAAGTTATAAAACCTACTTCCTGATCTTGAAGTAGAGAGGGAATTCAAAGAAGAAGAAAAAAAATAGAAATTATCACTCAGTTGCAGCTGGGGAGTTGGAAGCTTGAAATATCACTTGAACTCAGGAGTTCTCAGCTGCAATAGGGTTAGCTAAAGCCAAGTAGGTTTTTGAACTATAACCAGCACCACTATAGTGAGCTCCTAGTATTGGGGAGCCACTGGGATGCCTAAGAAGGGATGAACTGGCCCAGGTCAAAGCTCCATGATGTGGTCAGTAGTGGGAAGGAACCTATGAGTGGCCACTGCACTTCCAACCTGAGTGAGATAGGGAGAACCAGTCTCAAAAAAAAAAAAAATCCAAATAAACACCAAAGAAAAGATTTCAGGGAAAATAGTTTGAATTGGTGCAGAGCAAAGTGAGCAGAACCAGAATTCTTTATCTAAGGTCAGCAACATTGTAAAGAAAAAATGGCTTTGAAAGGCTTAAGAACTCTGATAAAATGATCAACCATGTCTCCTGAGAACCTATGATGAAACATGTTACACATCTCCTGAGGAAGAAGTGATGGACGCAGGGTATGGAAAGAGGTATACATTTCAGGGCATGGCTATTGTGTGGGTATGTTTTACTTGATTTTGCCTATTTATTACTAGGGTTTTCCCCCCTTCTCTTTAACACCCTCTGCTTGGGACACGGATGTGTCAATCCACACCCAACCTCAGAACCGGCCGTGTCAAGTCCATTCACCCACTAATTCCACTCCATGGCCTCCTCTGTTCAACCTCCACCTAGCACCCAGACTGCACCCCTGTGGAAACGAAAACCAGTCATTTCTCACGCTCCCTCCCAGTTCAAACTGATTCCAATGCTGTCAAACAGGCATCCACTCCCTGACTGAGTGATATGCAGAAGCAACGCCCCCAACCATTTTTCACAGCTTCACTTAAGGTGGAGTGATTGTGAGCATTGTCAGAGTTTTGATTAATCAGTTCAAACTGCATTGTGAGCTCTGACTCCCAAGCCAGAGAGGCAGCTCTTGAGAAAACTAAATTATTAGTATATTCATTACACATATCCCATCAATTAATACGAAAATTATAGATTTCCTTCTCACTACAATGAGGGAGTTGGAGTAGGTGGTTTGTAAGATCTCTTCTTTTTTTATGTTCTCAAGTTTTATGATCCTAAAAAATGGACTGAACTCTTTTTAAACTTCAGGAAATGGGGGAGATAGCATGGGTGTGTGTATGTTGGGGCACGGAGGGTCTATGATAATAATAATTGCTAACATTTATCTAGTGCTTACTATGTGCCAGGCACTGGTGCTCATAATAATCCTGGGAGTTAGGTGCTGTTATTATATTTTTTATTTTATTTTATTATACTTTATATTATATATAATTATATATTATATATATTTATTACATTTTATTATAAAATATATATATTTTATAGATGGGGAAACTGAGGGTGACAGACGTTAAGTGACTTGCCCAGGGTCTCACAGCTAGTATCTGAGGCTGAATTTGAACTCAGGTCCTCTTGACTCTAAGCCCAACTAGCTACCCACTATTTCACCTAGGTGCCCCATGATTAAAGGAAAGTAGTTTGTATATCACAAAGCACTAAATAAAGATGTTATTGCTGTTGGCATTGTTATATCTTTTATAAATAAGAAACCAGGAGGTAAGTCAGTTATGAAGTAACACACCCACAGAATGTTAGGAAACATGGTGCCTGCATTTGGGCTTATGTTCTGTGGAGGATTGATGGGAAGACATGAACAAGTGCTGGGTGAAGTATGCATGGACCCTAGTCTGCCTCAGTGGAAGTACTTATATGCATGAGATCACGGATGCTTTGAAATTTTTAAAGAAGAAGCTAGAGGAAGAACCAGAGACTTCGTGTTCTTTTAATAAATAATCAGAAAAACATAAACATAGAGTGGCCGGCTTCCCATACTTTGGGTGGAGAGATGACATGGATAAGAATCATACAGGATGCGAGGGCAAGTACAGCTGTAATTTGGGACCACCCACACTGATGAGATCATGAACTGATTGATGTGACATGGGCTGGGGACCTTCTCAACCTGGGCCCCTAAAAGCTACATCCAGCTTTGTGGCACTATTCCAGGCAGCATCTGTTCAAATCAACAGCTCATTAGCCCCAGTCAGATTTTCCCTTTTAGGAAAACTAGTCAAATGATTCAGGAATTCAAAGCATTTAATGAAACAATGGCACGGTTGTACCAAAGAATTCAAACAACAAATGCTCATAGCAACCAGGTCTGGGATTCTCTTAGAACCCTAAGGGAGATTTCAAGGCAACTTCCTATTCTATCCCTTCCCCCAAACCCTCCACCCTATCCCCACCACCCTCCTCCCCCTCCAACCCGCCTCAACATAATGGGACAAAGGACACTACCAGTTTAACTCATAAAGCTGGTATTGGATGCAGTTACCTAATCAGCTCTCCTTTACTCTCATCCTGGCAATGGAACCCTGCTCTTCTTGGATACTGATGACTCCGGCCATGGTCCTCAGACACCCTCAGAATCCAGGCAGGAAGGGGCAGCTAGGTGGCGCAGTGCATAGAGCACTGGCCCTGAAGTCAGGAGGACTTGAGTTCAAGTTTGGCCTCAGACCAAACACTTGACACTAGCTATGTGTGACCCTGGGCAAGTCACTTAACCCCAATTGCCTAAAAATAATAATAATAATAAAAAGAATTTAAGAATCCAGGCAGGATACTGGAGTTTAGGAATGGTAATTTAGGGCTTCTTAAACTTTTCCACTTGAGAACCCTTCAGCACTTCTTAAACTGTGGGTTGAAAACCCATTTGGGGTTGTGCCCCATAGTTCAAGAAGCACTTAGTGTAACCACGTGGGGTTGCTATGTTAAGCTTATGGCTGAGTCCTTTAAAAAATCCAAACTCTTAGTTATTCAGACTTTAGACATGTAGTTGTGAAATAGATGAATGGCTCATGATCATGATGCCAGTTAGATCCAGAGAGAGAAAGGGAGAGGGGAAAAGGGGAGGGACAGGGCAAGACAGAGAGAGTGAGAGGGAGAGAGAGAGAGAGAGAGAGAGAGAGAGAGAGAGAGAGAGGGAGAGAGAGAGAGCTCTAACAGTGGGCTGGAGTTGGGATCCTAGCCCTGTGCTAGTAAAGGTCATTTTACACCGGGCAGGTCCCAGAGCCATCCTGTGCTCTTAAGCCTCAAACAAAGGGACATAAGAAAATGCAAGGGACAGAATCAACCACAGGTGTTTATGGGAAAGAAGATTAGGTCAGTTGGATGCATCCTTTAAAAAAAAACATGCTTAAAAATGGGTTCGTTGCACCCAACTGAAGGAAGGCAGGTGAGGGAGGAAGGATTATCAATTCCTTTCTCTTTTTTTTTTCTTCTCCTCAGCATTCTAGCCACCTGAGCAAGTACCCACCATCAAAAGACACAGTCTTCTACCTTGCCACATTACCTACTACATTAATCTACCCCCTGGGAGGTTCTGGTAAATGTTTAACAATCAATTCTCTGAGAAAGCATGACACACTTTTAAGTTTAATCTAAGTTCTTAACATTTTTCCCACCACTCTATTAAATCTAGACAATCAACAAAACAAGAAATCTAGATTTGTAGTATTTGCCAATTAATTTAACAATGAGCTCTTAGGAGCTAGCTCTAGCACCCCCCAGCCCACTCTTCTCCAGTATCCTAGGAAGGGGAACTGCCGATGTCACCATTGCTGCTTCCAAAGCCATGCTACTACTCCATGTTGGGGACAGATGTGGTACCCTACCACCTCCCTCCTCTTTGTGTGTTCTTTCCCATCCTCTTTCCTGGATTCTCCATTTAGTCTAATTCCAGTCCCAAGCCATGTGATATTTCCTTCCTTCAAGAGATGAGTAAGTCCCAGAAGTCTATGCAAGTTTAGGAATTCTTACCCCCTTTAGAGAGTGGGCAGCTAGATGGCACAGTGGATAATGTGGGGCCTGGAGTTAGGAAGACCTGAGTTCAAATCTAACTTCAGACACTTACTAAACTGTGTGACCCTGGGCAAGTCACTTGACCCTGTTTGCCTCAGTTTCCTCATGTGTAAAATGAGCTGGAGAAGGAAATGGCAAACCACTTCAGTATCTTCACCAAGAAAACCTCAAATGGGGTCAGGCATGACTGAACAACGACAAAAAAGAATAACACTCTCTTTAGAGAAGAGTTCACCCTAGGTTCAGGTCCTCCCTTTCACTTCATGTGGCTATTGCTCTACTCTCTGCCCCACTCTCATCTGATTATCCCCCAGTTCTTACCATCTGCCCTCGTGTCCCCAAGCAATCTCCCCTCAAAGCTATCATTTTGTTCCTTTTTTTCCTTCACTTTGTACCAATGACTCCACCCTGATGACTAATCTAAACAGCACTGGAGAACTTAGAGCAGGTCAAAGAAAAGGAAAATCAGAAAAAGGAAAAAAAAAGTAAATAATCAACATGATGGTACCTTTAAAGAGTTCAATATCTGGGCAACTGAATTTGGGGAGAGCAAAGACCAAAAATCCCAGGCTTTGCCCTTCCTCCATAGGAGAGACTGAATTCTTCCATGTGAAGAAACTCATATTGAATCTCCTAATGTAAAGACATGATGGCAGTGAGCAGAAGGAGCACTAGGGACCCCAGGGCTACAAGCACAGTTGATAATGACTCCTCTGCCACTGTCACTCATCCTCCCCAAGGGCCAGGGTCATCTGGAACAAAGTACTTGAGACAGATATTCTTCACCCTTTTTGTGTCATGGACCCCTTTGTAGGTTGTTTGATGAAACCTACAAACCCATTTCAGGAT